CTCCTGCCCTGCCCCACGGTGTGGCTGCCTCCCCCCACTGCTGCTGCTGCTGCATTGCCCCATCACCCACCCCATTCCTTCCCGCGGTGAGCGGTGCCTTCCCCACGATCCCACTGCCGGCACGGCCCCAGGCACGGCCACTGCCTGGGGAGGGGATGGGGACGGGGGGAGGCGGGGGGAGGAGATGGCAGCCCCAGGCTCCCGAAAACGCAGATGCATTAGAGCAAGTGGAGCTGCCTGATTGATTCTCTGGGCTGAGACGTGGGCTGGGAGTGCCAGGAGAAAATGGATCCCATGAATATTTGATGAACGGAGGCTTGGGGAGGGAGTTTGATTGGAAAATTACAGATCTTTCAAACAGTGGTTCAAGTACCCTCCAAATACTTGGGTTTCCAGCTCCCTTCCAGTTAGAGGAGCAAGGCTCCACCAGCAAACTCCCACCACGATTTATGAATGAGAGTGGAGCCGGCCTCTCCCCACCCCGGGAGCACTGGCCAGCTGGGATGGGCAGCCCCGGTGCTGGCCAGGACACGGTACCTGGCTCCTGCCACAGCCATCCCTGGGTTCCCGTTCACACGGGGCAGCACGGCTTTCCCACAGCAGTGCCATGAACACAGGCACACACGAGGCTCCAAAGAGCTGGCAGGAACATGGATCCTGGCAGGGGCACCCCTGTGAGTCCCAGTACCTGGGGGGGAGCTCAGTTCTTGGTGCCAAGCCCAGGGGCTGGGCTTAACCCATGTCCAGCTCTGCTCCACCAGGAAACACCTGTCTGGGGCAGGATCCATCTGGCTCCTCTCCCTCCTCCAGGCTCATCCTTGTCCCTGACAGTGGCTCCTGCCTGGGGCCAGAGGGCTCCTTGTCTCCAGATAGAGCAGAGACTCAGGAATCTGGGCTGTGCCTGCAGCACCAATCCTGGCACCACCACTCAACCCAGCTCCAGCACACAGCACCTCCCGAGGTTTCCTCTGGCACCTCCAGTGCTGGAGCCCCAGCACAGCTCCCAGCACAGCTCTGGGCACGTGAACTACCACCCTGCCTGAGGAAAGGGGCTGTTTCTGGCCAGGAAGCACAAACACCAACACTGGCTTCCCAGGAAACCTGCAGGTCGAGCTGAGAGCTGAGGTCTCACAGCAGTGGCTGAATTCTGAACCCCATGATCTGCCAGCCCCAAGCAGGGCTGGGTGCTGTTTTGGGGCCATCTGTGGCAGAGTTTTATGGCCTCCTCTGGGAGAGCTGGGAAGGGTGACAGTGCCGTCCCCTCAGCTGCACACAGGGACAGGATGGACCTGACCCCTTCTGGTTCCTCGCACCTGGCCAGGAGGCAGCAGGACCCAGCCTGGGTTTCACTTCTCCCTGGATTCCAGTGGAAAGCAGGGCCCTGAGTCCCTTCCCAAAGGGCTCATGGGTTATTCCTCAGGCAGAAATCTCCCTCCTTCCCCTGGGTGCAACTGTCAGCTTCTGATCAGGGTTGTGAGGGCAGGACCAGGAGAGCCCTTGCTCCAAGGACACCCCCTGAGCCAAGGGGAGAGCGACAACCCAGTGAGACAAACCACCAGAGCAGCCAGATGTGAGATGCAGGATCTCCAGCTGCTCAAGAGCACTGATGGCAGCGGGAGCAGAGGAGGACAAACAGCTCCAGTGGGACCATCACAGCCTTTACCAGAGTTGGAAGGTTTCAGCCAAACCTCCCTGGGCACCAGTGGCTTGTGGCAGCCAGGACCCTCTTCCAGCCTCTGCCACTGCCAAGGCGAAGCAGGAGCCAAGGCAAAGGCAGCAGTACCTGCCCCAGCACCTCTTGGCTGCTGCAGAGCCAGGTTGACAGCAGGGCATCACCTGGCCGTGTCCCCGCCTGCCCTGGGACTCTCCTAAAACTCCACGACCAGGCTCTGGAGTTGAGCAGCTGCAGGGGCTGCACCGTTTTGCTTTGGGGCTGTGCCCCCTACCCCAGGTCACTTGAGGGGTTTCACTCCAAAGAAAGACATTGACAAGTCCAGCATATGGAGCTGGTGGGGGACAGGCCTCACACTCCTCCACAGATTCCTCAGCCCTTGCTGGGAGGGTCGGTCCAGAGCAGGGTGAAGGGCACCATGTAGAGCCCAGGGACAGGAGCCGTCATCCTGCCCGGTGCCATCCCCCCCTTCAACCCCAGCCTTTGACGCCTCCGCTCCCGGAGAGCCTGTGCCTGGTCTGGCAGCTCCTCACCCTCTCCCCAGGGCACGTCGCACCCCTCGGCTCTGCCCTTCCCCTCATTGCTACCTTTTGGCAAATCACACACATGTTTTCCTCCCTAAAAAGGCTCTTTCCTGCAGGGACTGAGGCACTGTGGGGCTGCCCAAAGCTGTGACCCTGTCTTGGCCAGCTCTGTGTCCCCTCCAGCAGCATGGGGAGCTTCTCTGTCTCCCCAGTCCCACAGCCACTGCACCCCAGTCTCCAAAACATTCTCAGATCTCCACTGGTTCCTCCCGCTCAGTTCCAACCCCAAGCCAACCAAAGCCCACCCTGAGCCCAGGACACCCCTCACCCTGCCCTTCACCAGTGCCCCATGGCCTCTCAGGGCTCCCTGGTGGGAGGCAGGTGGTGGTGAGCAGGACCTGTTGAGCACTCAGCATCCCCGTAGCCAGTGGTAAAAACAGATCAGTGTGAGGTGAGGTGCCCATGAGGAGTGGAGAGTGGCTGACCCTGAGCTGGTTGGGTGCCCCAGGAACCCCCAGTGCCAAACCCAGAAGGTGCTGGGGACCCCTGGTTCTCCATGGTGGGGACCAGAGCCACGGGAGACAAGGAAAGGCCCGGATGAGACGGGGCCAGCGCTGGCACTTGGCACCTCAAGCAGCTGCCCAGTCCCATGCACTCCTGGCACCAGCTGCTGGCATCCCTGAGGAGCAAAACCAGCATGCAGGCAGGACAGTCCCCAGCCACCAGCTCCCAATGGCTTCCGCCTGCTCCGTCCTTCCCCCACCCGCCCGGCTCCAAGCGACCGGGCAGGGCCCCACCACGGCACACAAAGGATGAGGCCGGGTCAGAGAGTGTCCATCTGTCCGGACCCCTCTGGTGGAGCCGATACATGAGGATGCCCTGGCCACAGCCGGGTCCCTGGGCAGGGGCTGGGGGCACAGTGCAGGGAGGGGTCCGCAGCTCCCGCCACCCACTCACCCCACCACACACAGCGGCAACAACAGGTTCAAAACACAAAAATAAACGCCCGCCCCACCCCCTGCTTCCCTCACCGCTGGCAGCCCAGACACCCCCCACACCTCCTGCACCCCCCGCGCCCACATCGAGGCCTCCGCTGTTGCCCCCCCACCCCGAGCCAGCGCCCCAGAACCCCACGGCGGGGCAGGGAGCCGGGGAGGGGCCGCACCTGCTGAGTGGCACTGGGGGAAAGGCGGCCCCAGTATCGGGGTCCCAAGCCCCAGCACTGAGGGGGTGTGAGCCCCCGGTATTGAGGTTCTGAGCCCCAGCACCTGAGGGGATGTGAGGCCCCGGTTTTGGGGTCACGAGCCCTGGCTTCGGGGGGATGAGAAAACACCCCCCCCCCGGTTTTGAGGTCCCAAGCCTCAGCATAGGGGAGATATGAGCCTCTGGTATTGGGATCCTGAGACTCCAGGATCAGGGGGATGCGAGCCTCCAGTTTTGGGGTGCTGAGTCCCCAGGACCAGAGGGATATGAGACCCCAGGTTCGGATTCCCCAGCCCCGGCATCGGGGGTGCACGAACCACTGGTACGAGCTCTTTGAGCCGACGGTGTGCGCTTCCCGCACCTCCGGTACTGAGGTCCCGCGCCCCGGTCCCCGGCCGCCGCTCCCCCCTCCCCGGTACTGCGGTGCTCGGCCGGCGGGGCCCGGGGGGGCCCCGGCCCGGTGCCGCGGTCCCGGCGCAGCTCCGGTACTCACTCCATGGTCCCGGTGACGGCTCCGGCGAGGGCGGGGGGCGGCGGAGCGGGGCCGGCGTCCGCCGGCGTCCCGGCGCTCAGGGCCCGGCGGGCGGCGGCATCCCCGGCGGGGCTGCGGGATGCGCAGGGATGTCGGGACCGCGCCGGTGCTCCCGCCTCCCTCCCGCACAGCTCCGTCTGCCGGGCGCGCCCCGCCACTGCCGCCGCCCATCGCCCGGCCTCGGGGCGCGCCGGCATCGCCGGGGCTGTGGCTGCTGTTGGGGGTCCCGAGGCGAGTCCCGACTGTGCAATGCCCTGTGCGGGACAGGTTGGAGGAGTTGCATTCGCAGCGTCTCCATGAATGCAGCCCCTGTGAATGTTCAACCCCCTCCTGTGAATGCAGCCCCTCAATCCTGCCCCACCCCAGGCACCGCCGCCTCTTTGCTCCCCCCTTTCTGCTCCCCCATTTCCCAACCCAACGGCCGCCATGGGCAAACTGCCACAGGAGGCCCCGAGCCACCCTCCGTTGGGAAATCTGCCCACTGCTGGGGGAGAGCTTTGCACCTGGCCCTGGAGCAAGCCTGGCTCTGCAGCGAGTGTCAGCATGCACCCCCAGCCTGGTATCTCACGTCCCCTGCACCCCTTTTTGCATTCCAAGGCAATGCAGAACAGGGGGAAGAAACTGCCCCTCTGCCCACAACATCATCCCAGAGCCAGCAGGGCTCTGGAGAAGCCGAAAGAGACGTTGGGTGGGAGCACAACACAGTCCCTGTGTGACCCACAGCAGCCCCATGGCAGGGATGCTGCCATGTCCTGGGAGGTGTCCTTGGGGTCCTGCTGCTCCCACCTCCCTGGCAAGAGAGAGGTTTCATCCCTGTTAGCTCAAGGCACAAGAGGAGTCAGGACTGGGAAGCTGCTCTGCTCTCCTTCTCCCACTCTGGGGGAAGCTGCATGGCAGTGCCAGGGCCCCCCACCCCCTGAATTGCACAAAGCAGTAACACCCAGAAAGAGGAAGCAGGAGGGAGATACCCGCTGGCACCCCGAGGCTCAGCCCCCGGAGGGATTTAAGCACCCCCACCCCGAGCAGCCCCAGCAGTTGTGACAGTGGCCTGCTCTGCACTGCCATGATCATGGCTGGGCTCTTCATCCTCAGCCTGGGAGGTTCCATCCTGCTCCCAGCAGGTAATGGGAGAGCTGGGGCCATGGTACAGGTCCCCAGGGTGGGAGATGGAGCCCCTGTGGCACGGAGGAGGCCAATGATCACCTGCACCCAGCAGGCACCCAGGGGAGCCGGATCATCGGGGGAAAGGCAGCAGTGCCCCACTCCCGGCCCTTCATCGCCTCCATCCAGATGGACGGGGAGCACGTCTGCGGGGGCTTTCTTGTGTGGCCCAAGTGGGTGATGACAGCTGCCCACTGCCTCATTCCCAGGTGAGCCCTGTCACCCCTGAACATCGTGTGACCCCTTCTAACTGATCCCCCTGTCCCAGGGGGTTACACAGTCCTGGAGCTGCCCCCTCCCACCTGTGCTCCCCCTCGAGCCCCCCCTGGCCATCCCCCCCTCCCCGATGGCCTCCAGCCTCGGCAGCACCTGCTCAGGCCCCCCCTGGCTGCAGGAGCAGCCCCTCGGTGCGTGTGGTGCTGGGCGCCCACCGGCTGGAGGAGCCCGAGGCGTCCCAGCAGGTCTTCAGCGTGGTTGAGTCCATCGCCCACCCGCGCTACAACCCCCGCGCGGTGGACAACGACATCCGCCTGCTCCGGGTGAGTCTGGCGTGCCACTGTCCCGCCACTGGGCACCCAGCGGCCAGGCAGGGGAGTGCCCCATGGCCCGGGACACGGGAGGGAGGTGGGGTGCCCCACGCGGGGCCGAGCCGACACTAGATGTCAGTGCTTCTCCGGAGAAGACAGACCGCGCCGTGGGTGCGATGGAGGCACCAAGGACACTCTGACTGTCCGGGTCAGTGACTCCCAAGCAGCCAGTCTCTAGAGCAGACTGGGACCAGTGCAGAAGGACTGGCAGGGGGGCCCAGCCTCTGAAGAGGGAAGGGCAGGGCTGGGGGGGATCAGCAGGATGGGTCAGCTGGGGCAGGCAGGCTATGGGGTGGAGAGGGTCCCAGGCAGGAATAGCTGGAGGGCTCTGCCCGGCAGCAAAGCCGTCCGTGCCCCGTCCACCCACCCAGCTGAACAGGTCGGCCACACTGAACGAGTACGTGAAGCGGATCCGTCTGCCTTCGCCACACATCGACCTGAAGCCCGGCACCGTCTGCTGCGTGGTGGGCTGGGGGGACACCTCCAACTATGGCAACCAGCCCGCTGAGCTGATGGAGACCAACACCACCGTCGTCAAGCGGAGCCTCTGCCGGACGCTGTGGAGGGGCAAGGTCTCGGCCAACATGCTGTGCGGGGCCAGCCCCAACGCCACCCTGCAGGGCGTCTGCACCGTGAGTGCACCCCCGGCCCCGGGCCCCACTGCCCCCACTGGGAGACCCACTAGTCTCCCTCCAACCTCCTCATTTTGCAGGGTGACTCTGGGGGACCCCTGATCTTCAAGAAAAAGGTTTACGGCATCGTCTCATTCTCTGGGAAGAGATGTGGGGACCGCCGGTTCCCCGACATCTACACCAAGATCTCCAACTACATTGGCTGGGTGCATCGCACCGTGCGAGGGCCCCGCCAACGGAAGGGGAGGCCGAAGCCCTAACGTGGCTGGGAGGGGGTCCTGGGGGCGGGCTGTGGGGAGAGGGGCTGAGATGTCTCCCAAGAGGGGAGAAAAGGGCCAGAACTCCCACATCCTCCAGCTCTGGTGGGGGTTGGGAGCTGATGCTCAGGGTTCCTTGACCCAGGACTCTGCCCATTGGTGAGGGGTGTCACGTCCTCCTCAGGCTGTAGCAGAAGCCCGAGCACCTCACGCAGCCTCTTGTGGCAGCAACATTTTCCTTCTTCAATAAACCCCCATCCCACTGCTTCCCTCTGTGCTCTGGTCCCCCCGACTTGTCCTGGGTGTGGGCAGATGGAGCAGGGGGTGCAGGAGGAAGAAGGGGAATGTGGCCCCCACTCAGGACCAGGCCCTGCCCCAGAGGAGCCAGGATCTGCAGCCAGGTGCTGCCACCCCAGCTGCCTTCCTGTCAGGGGTGGGGCTCCCCATCCCATCCCATCCCATCCCATCCCGTTCCATCCCATCTCATCCCATCCCGCCTCATCTTGTTCCATCCCATCCCACACCACACCCTTCCTGCTGCTCTACAGGACCCCCCAAACAGGGGAACCACAGACACCCCCCGGGGTCAGGCGGGCTCCCAGCTGCACTGGCGGAGCCCACAGGGATCCGTCGGGAGCCTCACCCACCTCCCCACCCGCAGACGGGCGCTCACCCCGTGGCAGCTGGGTGCCCACAGTGGCCAGGGGACATGTGCTGAGCTGCTGCTGGGCCTCAGCTGAGACACGTGTGGCTCTGCCCGGCGTCGTCTTGGAGAACAGACTCAGACATTCCCTGCTTCTGGCTGTTTGTTTTATCTGCAAATTGCTGGCACCCTGTGGCTGCTGCAGGGCCTTGCACAGGGTCAGGGGACACAAGCTGCGGTCACCAGTGGCCCTGGGGACACCCAGTAGAGGACAGACCCCTGCCAGGCTGCCAGCATCCAAGGAAGCCCCAAATCCCAGGGGGGTGCTGGCAGAGGCAGTGTGGGGCAGAGATCCCCTGGAATGCCGGGACAGGGCTGCCAGCCCCGGGGCTTCCGCACACTGCCAGGGAGCCTGGAGAGCCGGCGCCTGTCCCAGCTTGTCCCAGACCACCCAAAAACTGGTGGGAAGGTGGCTCCTGACTCACAGCCATGTTTTGGAGGCTGAAATCTCCCGCTCATCACAGGAGCCGCTGTTGCTGCCGCAGCCCGTGCCCGCGGGCTCGGCACGGGGCCACGCACCAGCCGCTCCCGGGGCCAAACCCTGCGGCGGGACAGGCGGGACGGGGAGCTGCCGTGGGCAGGAAGCGCTGCGGGCAGGCCGTGGAGGAACCCAGGCCACACACCACCGTGTGCAGCAGTGCTGGCGCCACACACCACCGTGTGCAGCAGTGCTGGCACCCAGAAGGGCGTGGGCAGCGTTTTGGGAACTCCCGTACACCCATCCCCAAGAGCGGGGGGACATCGCTGAGCTGGGCAGGCAGGGAGAGGCTGCAGGAGAAAGTCCCACGACCATCCTGGGTTATCTGAGCGGTCTTTTCCGACCTAAATGATTCTGTGATTCTCTGCAATGCACTCCTGGGCTGGGCATGGTTCTGAGGGGCTCGGCGGGGGGTTGGGGGGCTGTGCCACGCTGGCCCCCAGCACAGGGGATGCAGCTGAGGGAGATCCAGCAGCAGTTCCTGTGGAGCTCAGCACGTCAAGCCACAGGCTGCCGCCCGGGAACCATCCCACATCGGGACCCAATTACCGGCAGGAATTGTTTTGTGAAATACCAAACCCTCATGGCACAGCCCGAGATTGGGAACAGATTTATCTTGCTCTTCCCTGCTCTCCCCTTCCCTCCCGCTGCGCTGAGCAGCCTTGGCCGGGCCGGAAAACCCGAGCGCCAAGCGGAGCAGATGGGATGCGGCTCCTCACCACTGCTGGGGGCTCCCCACATCCCAGACCCCGGCACGGGGGCACAGCCCCAGGGACAACAACACCTCCTGCGGCCCCAGAGCCTGCCCGACAAAACCAGACCCACAGCACCGTTTAATCTGGTTTATAATTATAATCCAACATAATCTAACGCAGCCATAAAATGCCCCAACAATACAGAATAGGGAATGTGGGTGTTCCCAAAGCATCTGCCTTGAGGGTCAGAATCCAATCATACAAAAATAGAAGATAAGGTATTTTTACATATAATATATATATAAAAATGATATTTATATAAAGTCAAGAGCTTTTTGGTGTCAGAGCTGAGCTGGTATTTACACAGGTGACAACAGAAGAAATGAGAAAAGGAATAAAAATAAATACAGGTGTGGGCAGAGCAGGGGGTACAGGGCCCCATAGCTGCAGTGTGGGGGTCCTTGGGGGGGCGGGCAGGGCCATCTCTCCCTGCAGCCTGGGCTCCATCTGAAGCTGTTCTGGCAAAGAGGGATAAGAAGGGCTGGGGGCAGCTGCCCTGGGTGATGGGCTCTGGGTGGGGGCTCAGTGGGCCAGGGAGAATGGTCATGCCCCTCAGATGGGGCTGCCACTGCATCAACTCTCTGGGCACTGGCATCACCTCCGAAGACGGTGGGAGCCTGGTCTGAATGGGCCTGGGAAGACCTAAACTGAAATCCATTTGAACACACACATGCTGAAAGTTTAGGAGACAATAACATACATATATTTTTTTTAATATATATAAAAATATATATCTATCTCTCTCCAATCTGATGCAGCATGCACTGCCTTTCCTGCTGCTGGCAGCTGGGGCTGAGCCCCTCAGGGAAGGCAAAAGCACAGATTCCCTCTAGACCTCGAGGTCCCAGCCAGAAACGTCAGCAGAGTACTGAGAATTAATCCAAAAATAAATAGGCCCAGGGCTGCCGGCCAAGGACACGTAAGGGGGGCCCACGGACACCCCTCCACACCGCGCCAGCAGCAAGGAAGGGCACTGGCCAGTGGAGAGCTCTGCCGGGCACTGGGTGGGCACCGGAGCATCCCAGGGCAGCTCAACATCTCTCTGGCCGTGAGCCCCCACCCCTGCTCCCCGGCTGGCAGGATGGGAACTGAGCCCCCTGCGACTGCATAACATACACAGGGATAAATAAGGATCTTTTTATCTTAATAAATATCAGGTATATGGTTTGTACAATATACACATAATGCCCCTGTCTCCCGGCTCCAGCTCGGCCGAGGGAGGATTCACACATAGTTCTCTTCCACGCTGTCCGTCTCTGCGGAGAATTTGGCTGCAGCTGAAAACAGAGAGAAGTGGTAAGGAGGGTGTGAGGGGTGACCAGGCCCTGGGGGTCCGTGCCTGCTGCCCCCCGCCCTGCCCTGCTCACCTGAGCAGCTCCCGTAGTGGCGCACGCCGATGGAGCGGCCGCGGTGGCAGGTGGCCCGCCGCAGGTGGCACGCTGAGGGGTAGGTGACATTGTTGTTGCCGCAGAGGGCGTGGTCCAGGCTGGTGGGCTCAGGGCAGGGAGCCGTCCGGCACATCACGCAGTGGGCGCTGCCCGTCTGGTCCACCACGCAGGTGTGGGTGCCAGGGCACACCACGCTGGAGCAGGACTCTGCAGGGAAGCACGGGGCTGGGGTGACCCGGGGAAGGGCACCCCCTCCCGCGGCTCCTCCAACTCAGGTGGATGGTGGACATCATCCCAAGGAAACCCGGCCACCTCCCAACCTTTGCTACTGGGGGACAGAGAGGAGCCAAGGGCCGAATGGTCCCAATCTCCCCCACCGATGATGCTCCCAAGGGCAGGAGCTGGCAGGGCTTGACATCCCGAGCGTGAAGGGAGCACGTGGCCCCAGGCCCTCGGGCTCAGCCCCAGCCAGAGCTGCGCCGCACGGGAGGAGCTGAGGTGCAGCTGCAGCGGCGGAGCGAGCACGGGGCTGAGCCCGTTTGGCGCGGGGGGACCCGGCCGGGCCAGCGGCCGCACGCAGGTGCCTTGGCAGGGAAGCAGCAGCTGCTGCAGCCAGGCTGGCAGCCGCCGTGCTGGCCCCGGCAAGAGGGAAGGGCAGGGTCACCCTGGACCCAGCCCAGTGCTGCAGCAAGGGCGCATGGGCGTGGAGGGAGCCTGTGCAGCAGGATCAGGCCCTGCAAAGGGCTCTGCCGGGGGGTGGTGGCGCAGGGGGCTCGTGCACCCCCATCATCCCTCCACCTTCCTCTCTTTCTTTCCCTGCTGGATTGGAAGATTTGGCATCTGCAGCTCTCAAACTCCCATTTCTTGCCCCACATTTCCCTGCTCAGCCCAGAGTTTGACAGACAAAGCCTTCCAGAGAGCAGGGCTGGAAAAATAACCATAATCCTTCTGACAGCTCTTGGCAGAGCCAGGAAGATCACTGCGCCCTTTACAAAAGAGGAAAAAAAGGGGCTTGACGTTTGTAAATGACATTTTAGGGACTGTTACTGCTCAGTCCAAAGTGAGGCCAAACCCTGGCGCACCAACAGCCTACAATGTCCCCTTAATGGGCACCAAGACCTGTGTCCTGCAGGCGAGACCCTGCACTGGGATGGACCTTCCCTCCCTGGACCACAGGGGATGGGGATAGGACAGGGACAGAATAGGAATGGGACACAGTGGGGTGGGGGCTCAGCTGCACCTACTTTTGCATTTGCCCTGGTACATCACTTCGAGGTCGGGGTGGTCTCTGCACTTGGCCGTCAGCAGGTCACACTCGTCCCGGTAGGTGTAGCCATCAGAACCGCAGACCTGCAGCTTGCGGGGCAGGCTGGAGCAGTCTGGGGCACAGGCACACTGGGGACGCCCGTGTTTCATCTTGCAGACCTTGTCGGGGCCGCACACCACCCCCTCACAGCTCTCTGGGGACACAGAGCAGCAGCACGTGAGGACACGGCACCGGCTGCCCCCCCCCAGGGAAGGGCCCGTCCTGCCCAGCCCCCGTGTGACACCAAGGGCCAGTGCTGGCCCTCTCAGTCCCGAATGCCCCCGGGCCACAGCGCACGTGCTGACACTGAGCTGCCCCGGCAGCATCTGGATCTGCTCAGCCCCGCCAAGGAGCAGGTCGTTGGCTGTGGCTC